CGGCGGGGTTTCCCTAGACGTGGAATTTTGCTCGTAAGCTCTCATTTCTGTTTAATTTGTGCAATTTTTCTTAAGATGGATATCATTTGTCCCCCCCCCCCCCCTAAACGACTTCGCTGAGGATTTGTTTTTGTCTTTGTAGCCGAGAGACTACCTCCCCCGCTTGTTGCTGATATCTGTGAGTGGGTGAGCGCAATTCTCCCCCACACAGTGGGGATTCGCGAGTGGGCGTCCTTCCATGAGAAGTTAGGGTGCAAGCCACTTACCGGTGAGTTGGTTCGTTGTGGTTCCGCTTTGTTCTTTACTTCATAGTTTTTTTATCTTGTCGTTATGTTATCAAATCCCTATTTACTGATAGGTCGGAGAGGAGCGAGAAGGACAAGGGCTCCTCCGCTCGTGTTCCATCAACCGGTGCTCTCTACCCGACTCGCACCAAGAGCTACTGCGGGCGAGGCGTAGAGAATCCGGCCCCGTCGGACCGCGCCCGCGGCCAAGGCCGTACTCTTGGAGGTTACTCCTCAATCGGACTACGATTCCCGCAGTCCGTTCAATAGGGGAACCTTCCCGCGTTGGTAGTGGAGAGGCCCCCTCGAAGAGGCGAAGGGTAGTGTTGGAAGGGGCTTCTTTAGCCGTAACACCCTCGAGGGGCAACCTTTCGTCAACGGCCCCCGAGACCGGCGGTGGTGCCATCCTGGATGCGCAGGCGATGCCTGTTGCGAGCGTTTAGGAGACTATTATGACGGAGGGATGGAGCTCCGAGGGTTCTGTTGTTGTTTCGAGCAGGCCATCATCATCTCGGTCGAACCACACCCATTCTTCGGCCAAGGAAAGGCGTCATGGTTGAGGATTATGAATCCGAATCCGACATTGACCCAGAGGACATGAGAATGTTTGAGGAGGGTTTTACCCGAACTATGGTAAGGGCGGAAGGCCCTTCTCGAATACTCGAAATTCCGTCGGACCTCAACCTATTGCAAGACACGCTCGCTTTGGTGCCACAGTTCGATCTTCTATGCTCCGCCGCCGAGAGCGAATCTCTTCGGAGGTCAATGATTCTGAGTTATTATGCGGTGTGGCAGCGATGGCCTTAAGGGTGAGTTCCCTTTTGCTTTCTTCGCTTTATGGACTTTGTTTTTATACTGACTCTTTGTTCCCTCTTCTTTTTAGACTTACAAGCTGGAGGTCGAGAGTGCTCGTAGGGCGGAGACGCGGGCTGAGATTTTTCTGAAAATGGCCGAGAAGTATCGACGGTATCGCAACAGATGTCGTGAGATGCACGAGCAGCTCCGAGCGGGTGCTACTACCCAGTCCATCAAGGAGGAGTTGGAGAAAAGAGATCAGGAGCTGATGCGGTCTATCCGCAGATGCAGTGAGCTCGAGGAGGTGCTCCATACCAAAGACGAGGAGCTCGAGGTGCGCAAAGGGGTTTCCGTGGAGTGCGAGGACCTTCAGGCGAAGGTGTTATCTTTACAAGCCGAACTTGAACAAAATGCGACCAGAGTCGAAGCTTTGAGCGCAGAATGGATGGGGAAGTTGGCCGAGCCGGAAAAGAAAGTGGCCGAGATGGAAAGTGCCGAGGATGCTTGGGTGTCGGCTTTGGCGAGAGCGGCGACGCTCGAGGATATTATCCGCGTCCTCAAATCTGAGTAGGAGTCTGAGAAGGCGACGGCCACGCTGAGGGAGGCGCGGCTCGAGGAGCGTATTAGTGAAATTGACCAGGAGGCTTCGAGCCTAGGAGAGCAGGTCGTGGCTCTCGAGGCCGAGAAGGCGCAACTAATGGCCCAGGCCGAATCTACCTCTGTTGCGGTCCCCCGCCGCTTGTATGAGCTATGGGTCCATGCCGAGGCCCAACGAGATATATACAAGGGTTTGTGGGAGGCGGGGAGTGTTCCTGAGGCCGCCTTTGAAGATACTCGAGTGAAGGCACGCGAGGCTCGTATTTCCTGCGGTTACGACCCTGCAACACCAGAGGCTGGTGAGGGCATTGATATTGAGGATGGGCTTCCTTCTGATGATGATGGTGCTGGGGAGGACGACGGTGGAGATGACGCCGAGTGAAGCTTTGTTGCAGCTTCTTGTACTTAGTTAGTTTTTTTTTGTTTTTTTTTCATATTTTTCTTGAGGGCATGTTTTGGCCTTTTGTGAAGCGCGGCTGTTGCGCATGTACATTTGAATAAAATAGTTGCTTCGCCTTTGTTTGTGTATCTTTTGACCTTCTTTCTCCTTCTCTCCCATTTCTTTTTGTTTTTTTCTTTCTTGGGGAGGAGATCTTCGGATTTCTCCGTGATGAGCCCCTGATATTTTAAATGGGAATTCGAATGAGGGCGGATCTACTTTGCTTGATCCAAGCGAGGTTGGATCTCGTTATGTGAGTTCGAATGATTCGAATTTAGACTTGCCAACTTGGGTGAGTCAGTTTGACTTGTATATTCGAGCGAGGTCGAATTTAGAGTTGCTAACTAGGGCGAAGTCAGTTTGACTTGTGTATTCGAGCGATGTCGAACTTAGAGTTGCCAATCGGGCGAAGTCAGTTTGACTTGTGTATTCGAGTGATGTCGAACTTAGAGTCGCCAACTTGGGCGAAGTTAAATTTTCGTGGCGAGTTCAGCGATGGCCGGGGGCGAGCTCGCGTGACATCGAATTATGACCCGTTATGAGTTCGACAGGGTCAAACTTTGATTTGTTGATTCGGGTGGGCGAATTTTTACTCCCACTTGGCGATGGTCGACGGCCATAAGGGCGTTAATTCGAGAAAGGTCGAAACTGTAACCTGCTGTAAATTCGAACGAGGTCAAACTTTCCTTTCATTTGGCGATGGTCGATGGCCGCAAGGGTGTTAATTCGAGCGAGGTCGAAATTATAACCCGTTGTAAATTCGAGCGAGGTCGAACTTTCCTTTCGTTTGGCGATGGCCGATGGCCGCAAAAGTGTTAATTCGAGCGAGGTAAAAATTGTAACCTGTTGTAAATTCGAGCGAGGTCGAACTTTCCTTTCGTTTGGCGATGGCCGATGGCCGCAAGGGTGTTAATTAGAGCGAGGTAAAAATTGTAACCCGTTGTAAGTTCGAGCGAGCTCGAACTTTTCTTTTGTTTGGCGATGGCCGATGGCCGCAAGGGTGTTAATTCGAGCGAGGTCAAAATTGTAACCCATTGCAAGTTCGAGCGAGGTCGAACTTTCCTTTTGTTTGGCGATGGCCAATGGCCGCAAGGGTGTTAATTCGAGCGAGATCGAAATTGTAACCCATTGTTTATATTTATTGGAGAACATTACTCGTCGCCGTATTGTTTATGCGTGTGTCGGGGTGAGTCCCGGTTTGTTTAATTTTGCTTTTATTGGAGAGTACCGTGCGTCGGGAGGAGTCCCGGTTCGTTTAGCTTTGCTTTCATTTGAGATTACTGTGCGTTTCATGGGCTCATCGCTCAGACCCCGGCTACGGAGATTATTTCTTAACAACGACCTGTTCTGAGCCGTTTCTATCATTTGTAGTACGGTACGGCTTAGAGGGCTTTGTTTGCTCATTGCTTGCGAAGTGGTATGGTACGGAAGATTTTCCTGGTGTGTTTGGCGGCGTTCGTTCCTTGTTTGCGTACCTATGAGAATGCTCGTGTTCCTGCTCTAGACCAAAAAGAGAGTGTGATAAGTTAAACCCAAACAAAATTGCCTATTACCTTGGCCTGGTAAGTCGGTAAAAGGGGGAAAGACGCTGTAGGGTCGCTTGTTTCGCCCCGTGCTCGAATGGCGGTTTCAGATTTGGCAGCCGTGTTTGGCTTCGTTGTTAGTCGTGTCTGGGTTTCTCGTGGGTTGGACTTACCTTGCTCGTTGGGATATTGAGATCGAGTCCCAATTCGGTCCCGTCCGATATAGAAACAATAAGGGAAACATGTCATACTCTGTTCATAAATCACATAGCACTGGCCCTTATACTATCAATAATCGACCTATCATTTTGAAGCCTTGGACTACAGATTTCGATTTTGATAAGGAGTTCCCAACTGAAATACCATTGTGGGTAAAATTCCCAAAGTTACCAATGAATTGCTGGGGAAATAATTCTCTGAGTAGGATAGCAAGTGCTGTTGGGATACCTATGTATGCAGATGAGTGCACTGTTAAACAAATGCGTGTTTCCTTTGCCCGAATGCTTGTAGAAGTCAATGTGACAAAACCCCTGCCAGATGAAATAGAAGTGATGGATCCTAATGGTAGAGTCTTTCAACAAGCTGTGACATATGATTGGAAACCACTGTTCTGTGACAAATGCCAAGTAATTGGCCATGTTTGCCCAAAGGAGCAAAGAAGAAATGAAGAACAACCAATCAAGCAAGGAGGACCTAAGAAAACCATTCAGATATGGGTAACAAAAGAACAAGTAACAGAGCAGCAAAATGACAACAACAAAGGGACAGAACAGATTGCAGAACAAGAGGGCAGAATCAAAGAAACAATTGACAAGCATACAAAAGATGTTGAGCAAATGCAGGGAACTATAATGATGCAGGAGCAGCAATCCAGCAACATGATAACACCCAGTGCAGGAAATGAGACTATTACGCCTAACAAAGGGAAAGCAATAAGCAATGTGCCGGAACTCAAATTGCAGGATTTTCCTATCCTATGTTCAGTGTCAACAAAGAATGGCTTTGAAGTGTTGAATAGAGGCTATGACGGATCACAATAAGCACCTCCTGATAAAGGAGGTGGGATCAATTATTAATAAATGAATTGGCTGTTTTGGAATGTAAAGGGAGTAAATAAGAAGTATAAACAGAAGGAATTGAGGAAATACCTAAAGACCAAACACATTACCTTAGCAGGGCTTACTGAACTAAGGTGAAAGAGCATAAAGCTCATATGTAGCAACAGATGTGACTCCAACCTGGGGATTTCAGAATAACTACCTAAGTGCTACTAATGGTATGATTTGGTTATTATGGGATAGTAATCTATACACAGTGGATAAGTTGAGAGAAGAGGCCCAATTATTACACTGTCAAGTTAATATGAGAGCAACTGATAAGCCATGTGTTATAACTGTCATTTATGGGTATAACACATGTGAACAAAGAAAGAATATATGGGAAACACTAAAGGAATTGGCTCAAGGAATCAATATGCCATGGCTAATTGTTGGAGACTTTAATGCAGTGCTATACCCACAGGATAGACTGTTTGGAAATCAAGTTCAGTATGTAGAGATCAAAGACTTCACTGAATGTATACATGACTTGCTGCTTAATGAAGTTAAATGGACAGGGGAATACTATACATGTACTAACAAGCAACAAAGTAATGACAGAATCTGTAGTAGACTTGACAGGGCTTTTGGCAATCATGATTGGATGATGGAATGGGGCCACATAATAATGGAGTATGATGTTCTTCTAATCTCAGATCATGCCCCAACGCTGTTCACTCTCATACCAAGGTAATATCAAAGTCCCATTTCGATTCTTCAATTCCTAGGCTGAGCATAACAACTTTCTGGCAATTGTTGGAGAAGTATGGCAACGAAGGCTCACTACTTGGAAGATGAGAAATATATGGTTGAAACTGAAGGCCCTTAAACCATTGTTCAAGCAGTTAAATAATGAGGAGTTTAAGACCATCACACATAGAGTAGATAAAGCAAGAAATGACTTAGTGGCAATCCAAAAGCAACTGAATTCTCAATGGTCTAAAAATCTTATGGAACAGGAAAGATCTAATTTGCTTAATTTGGAGAAATGGTCTATGATTGAAGAGAGCATCATGAAGCAGAAGTCAAGGGTCAAATGAATTCAGTTAGGGGATTCAAACACTAAATATTTTTCTGTTGTGGTCAAGGAAAGAAGCCAGAAAAAGCACATCAAGGAGATCACCTCCTTAGAAGGAGTGAAACTTACTGATCCAAAAGAAATTCAGAAGGAGATTGTGAAGTTCTACAAATCATTGATGGGAGCCTCAGCTAAGAGCCCACCAACTATCAATAAAGTCAACATGAAGCAAGGTCCAACATTAACTCAACAATAGAAACTAAATCTAATTGCACCAGTCACTGAGGAAGAAATATAAAGAGGACTTGAGTCCATTGGTGAAAACAAAGCTCCAGGAATTGATGGATACAATGCCACTTTCTTCAAAAAATCATGAGCCGTCATTAAGAAGAAAGTGATAGAAGCAGTAAAGGAGTTCTTCAACAATGGTAAGATGTACAGAGCCATCAATTGTACAGCCATAACTCTGCTGCCAAAGAATGATAAACCAACAACAGTTAAAGAATTCAGACCAATAGCATGTTGCACAGTTCTGTACAAATTGATTTCTAAAGTCATAGCTGCAAGAATACAAAAGGTCATTGCTTTCATTATTAGTGAATCACAAGCAGGCTTTATCCTTGGGAGAAAGATTAGAGATAACATCATCATATCACATGAATTGGTGAAGGCTTACACAAGAAAGCATGTATCTCCAATATGCATTATAAAGATAGATTTGTAAAAGGCTTATGATTCAGTGGAGTGGATATTTTTGGAGCAGATCATGGTAGAACTAGGATTTCCTACACAGTTCATCACATGGATCCTAGAATGCATGCAAACAGTTAGCTACACTATTTTGATTATTGGGGAAACATCAGAGCCTTTCAATGCAGCTAAAGGACTCAGACAAGGAGACTATATGTCTCCTTTCATCTTTGTTATTGCAATGGAGTACCTGAGTAGGAGCTTAAAAGGAATGACAAAGGAGGCATGCTATCACTATCATCCAAGATGCTCAAAACTAGCAATCACACATTTGTGTTTTGCTGATGATATGTTACTCTTTGCCAGAGGTGACATCTCATCTGTGGTTTCTCTTCAGCAGTGCTTTAACCAGTTTTCAGAAGCCTCGGGCCTTAAAGCAAAATTAGGGAAAAGCTCAATATATTTTGGTGGAGTGAGTAGAGAAGATAGTGAAAGAATCCAACAAGCATTGGGTTTGTCTGAAGGTGAGCTACTATTTAAATACCTTGGGGTTCCTCTGTCGGCCAAGAAACTTTCCCTAGTACAGTCGCAACCACTTATAGAGAGGATAGTAGCAAGGATATCATCATGGATTGCAAAGAAGTTGTCCTATGCAGGTAGAGTACAACTTGTGCAAACGGTTCTATTTGGAGTGCAAGCCTACTGGGCTCAGATTTTTGTACTGCCTGCTAAGGTTCTAAAAACTATTGATGCATATTGTAGAAGTTACATTTGGTCAGGCTCCAATACCATAACCAAAAAATCCCTGATGTCTTGGGAGAGAGTTTGTGCTCCAAAAAGTAATGGTGGTCTTAACTTGACTAACTTACAGTTATGGAACAAAGCAGCTATAGAAAAGAACTATTGGGATCTAGCACACAAAGAAGAAAAGTTGTGTATTAAATGGATACATGCTTATTATATCAAAGGCCAAGCAATTGAATCTATGACAATACCTCAGCAAGCATGCTGGATGGTTTGAAAGATCATGGAAACTAGATCAATATTGGAAGGTATACAATGTAATTTCAAGAAGGGAAGAGTATCACAAGAAAAATATACATACAACTGATTGGTGAGAAAGCAAGAGTCCCATGAAAACACATGATTTTTGAAAATTCAGCTCGACCTAAAGCAAGATTTATACTATGGCTGCAACTACAGGGCAGGTTGCTTACTACTGACAGGATAGCCAAATAGGGAATTGAAATAAATACTCAGTGTGTAATGTGTTAAAGTGATGATAGACTATAATTACGTATTTTAATCGATTATTATACTCTAATTTATTGCACTTTAGTTGAGTTTGCGCTTTAATCGCTAGTGTTTTACACTAAGTGTGTATTTTATGCCTTGTATGAGTGATTCCGAGCTATGTAGATGTTATAGAATGAATTCAAGTGATTTGGAGCTTTGAAGTCTGAGTAAAATCCCAAGGAATTAATCCGGGATCGTATTCCGGGATCAACGGGTGATAGAGCAACGAAATGAAGAATCGAGTAGGCATATTACACACCGTCTAGTAAAATACACATAACTTTTTGCTAAGAACTCCATTTGGGCTCCACTATATGTGGTTGAAAAGCTAACTCAAAGGTCTACAACTTTCATGTTTTATGTTTGTCCAAATTGCAAACGGAACAGGGTGAAAAAGGCTCGAAATAGTAGACTTGCCAAATACCGTGCCCGGACCGCGACCGCGGACGTCCAGGCCTGGAAACTTGTCCTTTTTCGCGTAGGAGAAGGTATAATTGTTTTGGCCCGACCCTAATTGGTATATATACATCGAAAAATAGTATTTTGAGGAGGTTGGACATACTTTTAACACATATTCGACCTAAGGAGGCAGAGACACAATAGGAGCAAGGCGGGGAATCCTTCTACGAGTTTTTCCTTCCTCTTCCTATTTTTTTTCATTGTTGGTTATGACTTTTAGTATTGTAGTTTTACATACTATTATGAATATCGAATTTGTTATCTAGGGTTTTGATGGAACCTTTTGTAGGATAAATCTTGTTATATTTTTATATAATTGAGCCGTTGGATTTCTCTACTTGTTCAACTACGTGTTTATTGTTGTTGATTGAATGGACATCGATTGACTGTGCCTATTTATTATATGTTGCTCGAGAGAGTACATATTTAGGTAGTTGTTGAACAACGTCACTCCTAACGTATGTGAGAAATCAATACATTGGGTTTAAAGGTAGGTTTAGAAATAACAAAGCCTTGACGTGGTCATAGTGAGCGGTTAGATGAAGCCAACCAGCGTAGTTCGAGAGAATATGTCTAGTAAATTGTTGTAGTTGCTCGAGAGAGAATTACGACACCTAAAGTGCTCGCGATCAGTAGAGAATACATTGGCAAAATTTTAGGGAACATAGCTAGAAGGATTCCGACAATTGGGGAAATCATAACTCTAGACCACCTTAATTTTAGTCTCCAACCCTTTGTCTCGTTAGTTGATAATTTTAGTGCTTTGTAGTATTTGCTAGTTAATTAGTTAGAAATATAAATCTCAATCTTTATAATTTAGAAAATTGTTCGAACTTGACTTCTTAGTGATATTAAACAGATATAGCTAAGCCTTAGTTCTCTGTAGGATTCGACTCCGGACTTTTAGACCGTATTATATTTGCAGTGACCGCTTATCCTTTTTAGGACTAGAGTTGGGTGTGATCCAATTTTGACGCCGTTGCCGGGGATTTGAGAAACAATGACATCTTAGAATTAAGGGAATTTAGACGTAGATAGTTCTACTATTGATCCTCATACATATTGTGAAGGAAACCACCCGTATAAAAATTATCAAAATATTTCCGAGAGCGAGTTATGTGCACCAACTCAATCTTATTTGTGGAATGTGTGTAATGTTTGTGGTGGTAAAAATTATCACTTTCATGGTTGTGCTTATATTTCTTATCTTTTCCCCAACCCCTTACTATAATGGTTCTACCTTTTCTTATGAAGTTAATAGGAATAAAGAACCTGGGGATGCGGACCTGAAGCAGATCAAGGATATGCTAAAGTGCCTTCTGGAACAAAATAATGAGAAACGATTGCAGATAAAAAGGCAAGAGGCAACTATTCGCAACTTGGAGGCTCAAGTGAGTCAAGTGGTTGAAGCTTTTAATGCTCAGCAAGCCAATTTTGGGGATAGGAGCCAAGAAGAGCGTGAATTTGAGGTGCTACTTGAGGAGTTCAGAGTAGAACATCAACAACCTAACCAACTACAATTTGAGGATGTCGATGTTGAAGATGTGAGACTAGAGTCAGCCAAGGACATTGGGGATATAAATTTTGTTGACTCTAGTATCATTGATGTTGAGGATGCTGAAAGTCCTGAAATTCATGTGTGTGAGCGCATTGGTCCTCACTCCAAACATTTTTCTACATTGTTCTTGGATGACGATATGAAAATAAAGTCATCCGAGCCGATTGAGAAATCAAGGAATGAGGAACAAGGTGCCTACATTCTGGAATATTTCTTGCCAGAAAGACAGGACTACATACTTCATCGAAAAGCCAAGAAGTGTAGAATAGTACAATGGTTGCTTGGGCCAATTAGATTTGTTCCTCCACCCCTGGAGCATAGTCGAAAACTTGATTCCAAATTGGGGGTTCAATTCATAAGCTCAAGGTGGAGGCAGAAAGTGATTCACGTCGTGCCGCAACGTTAAATCAAGTGCTTGTTGGGAGGCAACCCAGCTTTACTGCTTTCTATTATTTTTTAATTATATTATTTTTGTAGTGTCAATTTTTAATTTTTCAGGAGCATGAAAAGCAAAGCTATTGGATGGATGCAACAGCAAATCAGATGGTTAGAACTAAGTGTGTGGTACCCGCACGGAGGACCAAGCATGGGAGAAGTCTGAGTACCCCATGAGCTGCTAGTGCTTCGGCCTTTGGCCTACCAGAGAGTCTCTTTCACCCTTTTATTAGTTATGGGGTGCATTGAGGACAATGCACAATTTTAAGTGTGGGGTGAGGAGATTGTCTGGGTGACTTTCTATGCTATTTTAGTTGTGTTAGTTTAATTGAATATTTTTTTAAAAAAAAAACGAAAAAGAAAGTTTGGACTTTTCCCGACGATGGATCTATTAGACAATTTTCTTAAGGGATTTAAGTCTAAAGAAAAAGACAAAAAAATTTCTATTGTTAGGTAGTGTAGCAATTACCCCTTGATTTTTCTTTGTGTCGCGGTTCTTTTCCAAGGATTTTATTTGAACCGGGTGTAGTTAGTTTTTTTAGGAGTAGGAGCTAGTGTGAGATGAATTGAATTGCAGCGATATC